GATGGTAAAAAATTCCTATAAGACAAACATGATCACTACACAATTAAGGTAAATAAATATAATTCTAGTGATTCTGAGACCGAACCAACTTTTTTAGGTGTAAAAAACCCAGTCAATTAAGGAAGAATTGTCTGTTAAATAAAAAAACTACAAAGAAAAGGGCAAAAGTTTTGAAGTGACGACATGGGACAAGTCAGAGAGTAGCTCGAGCTATGATGACAATAGAGCACATTGTTGTCTCATGGCTAAAGATAGTAACTCAGATGAATCCGAACACAAGAGCTCCGATAGTGAGGTATACCCTACATAAGATGATTTAAATTGTAAATATAATAAAATATTAGGTCAATTTGAAAAACTTGTTAAAAAATGTAAAGTTGTTACAAAGATAAATTCAACTTTAAAGAAGGATAATAAATTTTTTACTAATAAATTTAAAAGATTTATTTAGAATTAAATATATCTAACAATGCAAGTGAAAATATCAACAATGCAAGTGAAAATATCTCTTTTGAATGTATTCAATGTTCCATGTATAGAGACATGAATTCTAATTTATCCATGCATCTAACTAAAAAATCAAGTGGAAAAAAATTATTAGTTGTAGGGTAACTGAGCTTTTACGAGAGCTATCTTCTGAACAAAGAAAGTTTAAAACTAGTTGCACTACAATGCTTTAGTTTCTTAAAATAAACAACAGAAGTCTAAAAATATTGATTTGAAAAAACCATGAAAAAAATTTCATTGAGTTCTAAAGGCTTAAATTTGGTTCTTTCCAATCAAAAATTTGTAAAACTAAAAGTAGACTTGATGAATCATATTAAAAAAATATAAAAAGTTTCAACATTCTTTTTCAAAGGAAAGAACTAACTCTTTTTGCAGTCATTTCTAATACATATTCTACTATATGTACTTTATGTGGTAAAATACGTCATATTTTAATGAATTGTCATATGCAATATAGAGTTAAAATAATTAAGCAGATTTAGATATCTAAAGGAATAATTACTATACAATGAGGACCTATGTGGATATCTAAGTCAGGTCTTTCTATGTTTTTGTAAGTATGTAGGAAGGTTAAGGAGCAAGTTAACATCCGTTTTAGTTGTTCAAGGAGTATTCGAAAGATGAAAATCTGTTCTTTAGCCTAACCAAGAAGAAGAATGGGATGAGAAGTGGCTGATAAATGAAAAGAGGGTCACGTTATGCAAGCAAGGATTTATTGCAAAGGCAAATTTGCATAAATGATCATTTTAGCAAATCTTCTAAAATGGATAAGTAAAGTATATTCTATAACCCCTCCTGTAGTATGTACATTTTTTATTTTTATTTATTTTTATTGTTTAGGTTGTTTTTAAAATTTTTCTTTTCCATTTTTATATATAAAAAATAAACAAAAATTTCTTTTTCTTTCTTTTTATTTTTTGTTAAAAAATAAAAAAATGGGATGTGCCTATGGATATGCTATTACATGTTTGATTTAGATGATATTATTCTTTTATATAGACTTGGTTATGTCACACAAGTTCGTATATGGTTTTTCAATCTATATGTATGTATTTTTGCACATAATGATCAAAAGATGATTACATAACATGTTGTTTATACAAGATATTTTATGCAGTAATTTCACACACTTATTTCTATACTTATCATGTTTTATGATGTGAAATAGTGGTAAAGAGCCTTATATTTGGTTTATAGATATTTTTGGTTATATAAAGTATTTTTTGGCTCATTTTTGACTTGGTTAATTTGCAATCCTTTATCTTTATACACATTAAAGTGCATTTATTTTAAATATTAATCAAACAATAGGAGTGTATTTGTCAAAAGATGATAAAAAATCCACACTCTTATAAAATCCACAGAAATATTGAGTGTATTGGTTGTCAAAGACCCACACTCATGGATTTGTATTTGTACATATCTCAAAGGGTAACCATCCTACATTGAATATATTTTATTATTAGAGATGGTGTGAATCGCCCATCAAATAATATCGTTCTTCCTTTTAAATCCTATATGGTCGAGATGATAGGAGACACTTTGATCCTTACTTTCTAAGATTGAGATAGTTCAAGTATTATTATTAATCAATATTCACTTCGATATACCTGAATTTGTCTAACCTAGTATCAGTCTTTTCACTATTTGTTTTACACAATTTACATCAACAGTTAATTTTTTGTGTGTGCTTTTCAACGTGTTTTCTCTTGTGTTCAGATGTTCTGTCATTAAAATTTGGCCCTTTGTGCTTTTTGTTATAATTTATTGTGTGAACCAATGTGTTTTCTCTCCCGTACATATTTTTGATGATTTTTATATAAATTTTCTCTTGTATTAAGTATACCTACTGATAATCACAATTTATTACAATTTTATATCCTCGATATCTATTTTACATGAATAAATATACCATTAATAATTGTTTTTAGATTAGTTTATATATAAATGAATAGAAATATAACATAAATATTATTAAATGTAAAAACGCCTCAAAAAATCTCTCTTCTCTAAATTATTGTAGGCATTTTTGAAGCCAAAGCCCATCAAGAAAAATAATACACCAGAAAAGCAATGAATGGACTTGGATGCCAAATAGTTGGAATGAATGGGCTTTTAATGCAAAATAAAATAAATCAAAATGCCTCCGGACTTAATGCTGCAGTGGACTTTTATGCGAAATGAATTGGACTCTTAAAAATGACCGGACTATGGTTGCTGCAAGGAGTGCTTGGAGTTGAAATCAATGGAAAATGGACTATGGGCTTTAAATCAAAGGCCATTGAGTTGAAATCATTTTAATGGAAAATGGACTATGGGCTTTAAATCAAAGACGCGGACCTGGTGTGTTTGCTGTCACAAGAAAATCAAAGTGGGACGGTCTTTGCTTTGGTTGCTGTTGGAGAACCCGGACCTTGCTGCTGTGATTTAATTTGGAAAATCAACTCATGGACCGATTGGCTTTGGACGTGGATGTTATTCATTTTCTTTTGAAAATCATGGTGTGCAAGGGCCCTGCTGCAGTGGACGCGAAAATGGGCTGAAGAGAATTGATTTTTAAAATCAAATGAAGCCTCTGTGTAATTAACTAGAGAAAATCAAAAGCAAATTTAAAGGTGGAGATAGTTGCTTGGGGCTTAAGACAAATCCAATGGCTCAAATTCATTCAAGATTACTATAAATAGGGGTAGAGAGTGAGGGGTTAGAGGTGAAATTTTTGTAAACTCTTTTGGAGAGGAGGGCTCTCTTAATTGAGAAGGTCTTCCAAAAATTTAACTTTAGTTGCAATTAATAATAATAATTTTTTTCCTCTTAAATTTGTTCTTCTCCTGCTTGTTGAATGATGAGGATGGAGATGAAGAGCAATTTGAAAGGTTTGCATTTCTTTCTCTTTATTCTTTCTTTGTAATTTCTTTATTATTGCTTATTAGTTAGATTTAAATTCATGCTTGTAGTGTAGATTTATTTTCTTGTCTTTTTTATTTCTTTTTGCACTTTAATTTGTAGAGTAGATTTATTTTTCTTGCATTTAATTTCTGCAATTTATTTTGTAGTTTAGATTTTTATTTTCTTTGTAATTAGATTTATTTCTTGTTCATAGTTTAGATTTTTCTTTTCTTTTTAATTTTGAATTAGTCTTCTTTTTTCTTGTTCTTATTTCTTAAGATGTGAATTTAATTCTTGTAAGAATATTAGAATTGTATGAAACTAGTCTAATTTCTTTTATATTGTATGAATTATTCTCTTGCACTTAAAATGTTCATGTTTAGGATAATCAACTAGAGAACTAATCGGTAGAAGAAGAATTTGATAATCTATGCTTATCTTAAATGGTTTGATAGGTTATGCTTATGAATTCTAGGATTATTATCATGTTGTTATTCTTATCATGAATAGTAATTTTAGCTTAGATGATAATTTGATAGGTTACACTTTCCTTAAATGGTTTGATAATCTATGCTTAATAAATCTAAGTTGAAATATGATAAAAAGAGAATAGTTTATATTTTGTAATTAAAATTGGTTAGTGGATTATATTCTAGATTTCTTACCTCTTTTGAATCCTTCATCTTAACTTTCTTAAATTTTCTTTTCATTTTTGGTTTTATTTCTTGATTTTATTAATTCATATTTCTTGCCTTATGATTTCATTTATTCTTTAATTCTTCCTTCTCTCCTCTAAAATTCAATTTATTTTCTTTTGCAAAGATTCACAACAAATCACTCATCACATTCATACTTATTCTTTATTCCTAATTGTCACGCACAAAATATAAGAACCAAGTTTGATAATCTCTTAAAATCACCTTCCTCGTGGGATCGATATGTTTTTATACTATAACTTGATAAATTGTGCACTTGCAATTTTGGTACATAATTTTGGTACATATTTTTGATGATTTTTATATAAATTTTCTCTTGTATTAAGTATACCTACTGGTGTGATTTTCACTTTTCGTAATAACAAAGGAAAGAATTTGGTGAAAGTTGTTGAGTTTTTGTATGAGTGGAGCTTTCATGTTTTGGTTCTTTTTAAAATTGTTCGAACACTCGATGCATTATTTTAAGGGGAGTTTTACAATACTTGTGCTTGATTACACTTAGCATAAATGCATAAATGTAGGGGGAGCATTGTATATCTTTTTTTTTTGCATGAGAGTATATTTATGCTTATTTTTTTGTTTATATATCACAAATATGCATGTATTTTAGTATTTTAAATTGGAGTTTTTTCAAAAGAGGTCTTTCTTGCTAAATAATTGGCAAAACCAAAACCGACTGTTTTGCTAATTATTTAGCAAAATCGACCTCTTTTTGGCCAACATGCCAAAAGAGGTCAGTTTCGAAAAAATATGCTTCTGGAACACACGGGACTAGTACTCCCGTATGTTATAATAGCCCACTAATCTTGACTAAAAAAACCTACGAGAGTAGTAGTCCCGTGTGTTTTCTGAACTGTGCAAAGAAAATGCACGAGACTATTAGTCTCGTACGTTAAACAGAGACTTGGGCGACAAAAGGACGCTGTCGCCCAGCACATCCACGGGACTTCCCATGAATTTGCTAGGCACACTAGAAACGTGCATAGAACATGCACAAGCTATATCACTTCATATACCTTGCTTAGCAGACCTGTTTGGGCTAAAAAATATAACATCCACTTTATATAATTGTTATACAATATAATATTTATATATTTATAAAATTTTAAGAAATAAACATTGGATAAAAACATATTTAATGAATTCACAACATCACAACACAAATAGCTACATCATATACATATCTATACGACAAAACAATCCAAACAAATCCAAATATATCAAGTCTATCCATACGACAAATATAGGCTAAGCAAAAAAACTAATAAACTATCACATGCAACCTAAAAGTCCGCCCCTCCCCCGTTGTCTCCCTCTTCATACCTGCTCTGATCATCAGCGTCCTTCTTCAATTTGAGGTTATACGTGCTCGCTCTCTGGTTGTGTGTAGGGCTGTGACATTCCAGCTTGCTATGACGGACCAGCTTCATTATGGTACGAGCAAGATCCACCTTGTCTTCATTGGCGTGCATATACCCTCTCCTCATGTTCCATCTGCTCGCGACCATCATGCTGATTCTCATGAGTTCGATGAAGAGCTCTACGAACTCTCCCCACTATCCACTACAATATCGATACATGTATTGAATCTCCTCGGGAGGTGGTTATGCCTTCATTTGCAATCCCCTCTATCTCATCCATAGTGTCTATTTTCAATTACGTTAAAAGATATAATTATATATATAAGTAACCAAAAGCTAATGGATTAAAAAAACTATTTAAATTTACTCATTTTACTTACTCATTCTCTTTCATCTATACCCCTTTGTACGTATAGTGTTGTAAAAAATGGCCTTGGCGCCTATGTGTAGGCGGAGCCTTGGCCACCTAGATTTGGCCTGAGCAACCAGTCTAGGTGGCCGCTCTGCCTAGGCGGTGCCTAGGTCTGCCTAGCTTTTTGAACAAAAAAGAAAAAGAAAAAAAGACCTAATTTTAAACTAAAACCCAGCGTAAACCCGAACCTATTACTAACTCTTAATCTAACCCCATTTATCTGACTCTCTCTCCCTCTCTCACATATTCTCGCCGCCTCCTCTTCTCAATCTCCCCAGCCTCCTCCTTTTCTATCGCTGCTCCTCTCATGCAGCCTCCTCCTCTCCCACCGCCTCCTCTCTCGCCACCACCTCTTCTCCTGCTGACTCCTCCTTATCCTCTTTGTCGCCACCTCTTCTTCACTCCTGCCACCTCTTCGCCGGCTACTCTTCTTCGCCACTACCTTATCCTCAAGCTGATCACTGCACTCCTTCCTTGAGCCACCTCGGTTCCTCCTCTTTGCTGCCTCTTCCTCTTCAAGGCCAGCCCTCCTCTTCTCTGTTCAAGGTAAAATCTTCATCTTTTTTATTGTTTTATTTTTTCACTATGATTAACTGATTATGTTGGACATGGTGATGTTTCTTAGTATTTGGTTAGTATTTTAGCTATTTAGTATTTATGCATAGTTGATTATGGATCTAAGATTATTATTTATATTTTTTAACAATTTTATATAAAATTAGTACATATTTTTGTGAATTATTATAATTAAATAAATTTTAAAATATGCAAATGCCTAGGCGCCATCTAGGCGTACACCTAGGCGCCTAGGCACTAGGCCGCGACTCGAAGGCCTAGTTCGCCTAGCGCCTTCTATAACATTGGGTACATATCTTGCTTGTTGAGAACATATCTCGATTTCGTCAACTAGAGGCGTAGTTTGAGTGATTATCCATCTTCTGGTAATCCCTAATACCATCTTATATAATCGATTTCCTCCATCAGAGGATAAAACTGCTCGAAGATGCTAAAATGTTGCTCATTCCATCTAGCAATGTACTGATTATGCACAAGTGGCAGTCAATCTAATGCCCACCCTTGAACATCTTTCTCTCTATTTTTTCTATAAATTGTGGAGCATGCTGTGCGAAACTAAACAGCCTAAGCACGCAATTTGGCACTGCATCTCCACAATTTCAAAGCAAATGAGAGAAACTTTGGCTCTCCATACATCGTGTACCTCCATGCAAATCAGTGGTTGACAAGATAGAAAAATTCTGTATGACTTCCACTCGAACAACAAAATATAAATTTATCATTAGTAACTAGCTTAAATTTATATAACTAAAATTCCATACCTGATAAATTTTCATTCAGTCGAGTTTTCTTCTGTAAAAATCTAACTGTCTTGTCGGGGCCTTGTCATATGCTTTAGTGATGTTCCATATGCGTGTATGATATAAGGTTAGATTCGAAATTGTTTACCCGCTACCCAGTGGAATTAAATTTTCTTTAATTAGATTTTCTTTAATTAAATTTTCTTTAATTAGATTTTATTTATTTTGCATAAAAGAAACCTTCGACATTTCCCTATATAGGTATGCTAAAATAGCACTATCCCATGATAATGTCTCGCACCCGTCGAAGTCCTGGAGAAGCGGTAACCACTTATCACATGGCAAATGTATTTAGTCGTATTTTATGAATAATGAGTAAAAATCTAGCAAAGCTGACCAATATTTTGCATTATATGAATAACAAGTTGTCTTACCTCAAATGTACTTTTTATTTACTTGAATCGAGGAAAAGAAGCGTCCCGATCATATGCAGAATATATGCACAAGTATGTTGCTAGATCATAACTTAGGATTCTTGATTGACCATTCACGTATAGCAAAAACCAAGGTTTCCTTATTCTCGAAAAAATCTTCTTTTTTGAAAGTGAAATCCTCGGGTCGTTCGAAATTAGAACGAAACTCAACGAACTCAGCTTGTGAGACATTTATCCACTTCTCATTTTGAAACTTTTCTAGCAGTGGTTCTTCAAACTCAACATAATCGTTGTTTACACAATATTCATCCATCCAATGGGTGTCCTGATCGATTCCTCCAATTGCACACTGTATACTATCAAGATGTTCCTTGTAATAATACTAAGTTTTATTTGGCTATATATATAAAGAAAAGTAAATGGACTTTTGTGCAAAAAATTGTTAGAGGGTTCTAATAGCAAAAAACATTCCTATAAATACCCCAAAATCCTACCCTGTGTAAATTTTATCTCGCTGCCTCTATATTTATCTCTCTAGTTTTTTTCTCCACAGCGACAAAAAAAAAAACCCTAAGGCGTTCCCCTTCATCGGGCCGGATTTCGGCGCTGCTCTCCTCAATGTGTTTTGAGACCGAAGGCTCATTAAGCTTGCAGCTATATAACAAAATCCATGACCTTTCAATACTTTTGTCTAATGATAGGTATAGTGAAGCACTTGTTTTCTTTTAATTCCTACAGACCTTATATCATCTTATATGATAAATTAACAAAGATGCTTGCATGCAGGTTGCTTATAGAATATAGAATATTAGTTGTTTGAGTTTTAGATAGAAGCTATAGGTTCTTTTGTCTTTTTTTATAGCAAGCAAAAACAGAAACTAATTTGCTAAAGTTTTAATAGTAGATTATGATCTTTTAAATAGGCTTAGTATGTTAATGTACCAATTGTTTATAGGAGGATCCTATTGATGGTTGTTTGAATTTAATCTTTAGGAAATTCTAGAGGCACTGTCGAAACGTCGGGAATTGGATTGGATTGTCTATCAAGTTAAGGTAAGTGATGAATTTATGCATTGTGCACTGTGTATTTTTATATAAAATTATATTAAGTGTACTTGGACCCGTTCCTAATGGATTATATCCTTTGTATGATTTACTAGTATATCATTTGTTGATTGTTTTGATTTTGTGATGCTCATGGATATTTGGTATAAGCTTATGCTTATTTTCTTTGTCAAGAGTTATGTCTATTCATATAGTAGTAGGTTGAGATGCATATGTGGTTGATTGATTTCACTATTGGTTAGCCTTTGGCAGTTTTGTATAACATACTTGGTTATGTGAACTTTGTTCATTTTATCTTTTAAACATGTGCATATCAAGTCAATATATTGGTATATGTCGGATATAAGCAAGTTATTAAAACATGGCTCAATGTGCCTCTATGAGGTTTCTATTTTAGCGATAAGAGCCCAAGTTTGGGTCTCATCGTCCCGACCACGGGCTATATAATAGTGGGGTTTGCCAAGTCAACCGGAGTATCGAAGTGTTGACCTCATTGAGACGTGACCTGCTTATTTCCATTGCATTTATACATTTTAAAGATGTTGCATTATAACTTTTGCTATTTTAGTATTTTGCGTATAAAGTCAATTTATTTTTAGTTTTGCAAAAACCAGTGTTTAATGTATAAATTTATCCACTTATTAAGTTGTGAACTCATTGTGTTATATTCATTATTTTTAGAAACTCGGTATTAGGTGGAGTTGGTGGTTCATGAGTTCTTAGAATGGAGCAGAGAATAAAATTCGAGATTGCTATTATTTTCTAGATGAAGGTTGATAAAGTCTTTGATGTTTAGTTGTAAATTCAGAGTTTTGGAATAATAATATTCTTTCCTTTAAGTTGAGGTTTATTTCAAGTTGAGGAATAATTGTTTATATCAAATTGATTGGATTAATATTGACTTTTGGGATTATAGAGAATATTTATTGATGGTTTTATTTCAATGAGAGATTATTTTTTATGGTCTTTTGATGAATATATATTATTGGAGGATTTTTTTTACAGGTTTAGTCCTGCTCCAATATTCCTTTTAGGTTCGGAAATTGGGGTCGTGACATTCGTCCTTTTCAGCATCTTCATAATCATCATTTGCATCCTCATCCTCATCCTCTTCTATAATAGAACGAACCAGTAAATTAACTGAAACATGACCTGAAGTGTTGTGTAACATGTCACTTGACATTGCACCCAAGTCATTTTCTAAGTGTAAGACACTTGGAAATGAAATAAATTCTCTCAAATTATTTTCTAAGTCAAGCATGCTGGAGAACTCTCCAGGAGCATATGAAACTTGGGCAACACCGGATACTAGAATATTTTCAATGAACAACTCAATTGAGATTTAGTTTTCTATAAGTTATATAATGTCACACAGTTCTTGATCATTGGTGATCTCTACAACAATTGTTCTTATTTTATTTATCGGATAATTATAGGAGACCTCAGTGGTATACTCTCCATGATTAACTCTAGTAACTCTATATATTTGCTCCATCATTCCATCGAAGTTGTAATTTCTAGACAACATGAATATTTTTCTAGATCCTCCCTCGTATATATGCATACTATTCATTCCAACACTCAGTTTCCCATTGAATAAGCAAATAACCAGTATTCCATTCACCATTCAAACTGAAATATTAACATTTATCATATGCAAATTATTTATTAAATTTTAATCTAACAAATTTAATCTATCAAAATTTAATCAAATCCCATTGTTTATCATAATTAAAAAATTATTCTAAATATACACTTATTTCCAAACTACAATTTTAACTAAATAATAGAGAGAAAATTAGGGGAAAGTTTAAATTTATACATTGATGAAGATTTGAAATTCGTCGGCGTCGGAGAAAATAGACGGCGTCGGACTTCAACAATGCTTGAGTGAACTATGGGAAAGATCTCAATTTGGGT